GAGTAACAAAAAAGTCATAGTCATGTTGATCTTATTTGAAATATGGAAATAACGATTGCCGTGTAATAGAGTGATCTTGCCAAAAACAGATTACTTTTTTGCGTTACGATCAGTTAAATTTTCAGTTTTTCATATATCAATACAATTATTTAGCAATTACTTGTTTCCCTAAAATCAGATTTCTACACTTTTTAATGATATGAGGATTTGTCTTACATTCCAGACAATGACCATGAATTACCCTGCGTAAAATGTGTATGTCTCAAGCAGACGGCAAACATCACAACAGAGGAATTACAAGAAATCGTTGTTCAGCTTAAAAAAGAGCTACAAATAGACAAATCCAAGACAAGCAGTAAGTGTAATAATCATCACCACCACCATCTCCAACACCACCACCACTACAACCACCACAATCATCATCATCACCACCACAACCACCACAATCCCCACCAACACCTTCATCATCACCACCACCATCATTATCATCACCACTACCACCACCACCACCACCACCACCATCTTCACCATGACCACATATACCGCAAGCATTATCATCATCATCATCATCATCATCATCACCACCACTACCACTACCACCACCACCACCACCACCACCAAAGTCATCACTACCAACATCACCACCACTATCGTCATCATATTTTGTTAGAAATCAGCGTATCAATCTCAAAGTCATTCCTATGGTCAAAGTTAACATGTTCTTTCTATTTCTTAAATGCTGAGTAGTTAGTTGATAATATGACGTCTTTGGTATTGCAATTACAGTTGATAAATGTAAACAAGTCATCATGTCATTGTATTTTTGTTTAGGTTTTATGATAATGTTTGTGATGTACAAACTAAAAAATAATCAGATTCAATCATTCGTAAAGGCAAAGGTCAAGATCATGGTCAAATTTCTGGTCAACTGACTGGCTGATAGCTGTTGTGACTTTATCAAACCAAACCGAACATTTGTTAAAAATTCTTGAAGGGAGAAATCCAACCCTAATGAAAAGAATAGGACCTCAGCAATTTCCTATTCTATATTTACCTATATATTATTAACTGGATGTCTACTATGATTTACTCCCCACTGTAAGCCATCTGATAGTTTGCTGTATGCTGAAGTCAGTGTTTTCCACCGAGTGTTTTTATGTATTGTCCAGTGAGTATTAGACGGAAAGTCAGCGCCAGTGACAACAGGACATCAGCGCAGGCGATGGGTACAGTTGGAGCTGCCATGCTGGCCGTTCCTTTGGTCCTGATACTGATCTCTGATATGATAGACCTGTGTCGATATCTTCAGAACAATACAAGGAAACTATCTTCAATGGAATGATAATTGCTGTTTACAATGTGTATTTTGTTCTTTATAACTATCATCGCCGCACTGGGGTGTGTGCATCGGATCAATGACGACTGCTTGACAGACGATTCGGAACTTTTGAATTATGAAAATATGCCATGCTTCAGACCGTTCCAGAGACCAGGTCTGTTGTCCCCAAGTTCTGCGATCCCTGACAGAAGTGGAAAATTGAAAGATAAATATATTATTGATATGTTGGTCTCATGAACATGCAACATCTTGCTATTATTTTTTAATAATTATTTTCCAATTTTAAGGGTATAGCATTTACATAATTATCTAAAAAAAAACGATATCAATGATGAGTGAATTTTGATTAAGTGTTATGGTATTCATTGTGATCTCATTGAGAAATATTCTATTTCTTGTGTAAGCTTATATTAAGCTGGGTGTGTTTAATGCTTAATGTTTGATTGAATCTGTAGATTTTTTAACCCTCCATTGCTTATAATTGCTTATATTACACACTCCAATGATAGTTGATCTAACGTTTCATTCTATATCGATTGAGACCACCAGAAACGTAACAAGAAATACATTCTTTGTAACCAACCAAGATTATTTTTTTAAACATTAAGTTGCTATATCTCTGAATCAATACTCTAACTTTCAACTACTCACTCCTCATCTTAGGTGGAAACAGTTTCATTGATTATATGCGAAAGTCCAAAATTAATTCGTTTAAGAATATTCATATTGTCTGTTGTTGACAACATCATGATTTAAAATGTAGATACTTGTATGTAGGATATAGTGTGTTACACTTTTTACCGCTGAAATCTGTACCGACCCATCTTTTGTAATATTGCAGTAAAACGTGGTTAATATTGTAGTGAAGGATATTTGCTGAATTCTCTACTTTACAAAATTAGAAGTAAATTTTTAAAATTCATGAAAATAATAATGATTTTATAAAATTTAAGAAAGAAATTGGTTAGAAGTGACTTTACCGTGTTTTCTTTGGGTTTTGCATTCTATTACCAGGCAGTGTTCAGACTAGCTCTTTCTCGCATATCATTTGGTAAAGATCTCATCGAAGTTGTTTGATCCCTAATCGAGCAAGGTTACTTTTTCCAATACAGTTTAGATAAAGGACCGCCTAGTGCGATTGTGACTGTGTTAAAAAGTAAGAACTTGTCCCCGATTTCTTTTGATACAAGTAAGTAGACCTCCCGCATGTTGTTCAGCGAGGTAGCATCCAGTTACTACACGGTAGAGACAAACACAGGAAATCAACAATCAATTACCTACAATTAATAGAGAGACTGTATACGAAAGACGGGACTCATAAAAACTTTTATGAAAATAAATAAAAACAATATGCTCAGTTGATGAATGTTTAAACTTAATTTTGCAATATTTAGAAGTCGATAACAACCATATATCACGGTGAGATACACAGAGAATCAATTTCTACCAAATAAAGAATCCGTGGATTTGTTTTCTATGGTACGTCATTGACATTTATCGGCGAATGATATTTACCTAATAATCCTGATAACAAGTGTTCATAAACACCATTACACATTACATTGGTGTTTGTTGTTCCGTTTGTACCTTCTAACTAATCGTTACAATCTTAAATCGCCGCCATATCTTGTTTTTCAAACATAATTCTTTAATGGTAGAGTCGTTTATATGCCTGTATTTAGTAAAATATATTGGGTATGGACACCAATATCTTAGATACCATAACTACAATAATGGCTAGCAAATATATATAGAAATATTGCAATATTGGTAGTTTATATAGTAAATATATTTAAGGGTTGACCTACCCTATCCCTTTCTTTTCAAATTCTCGTAATTCCTAATTAGCCACTTTTATGTCTGAGTCTAGACTGTTTAAACCGTGCCTCATGAACGAATTGAATTACATTTATATCAAGGGTTGGCTTTCATTTTGATTGCGTATAGTCAGACCGCAGCTGGAAACAAACATATTGTTTGGACGTTCACTCAAGCTGTAATTTAGTAATAAATACATTTCATTTCCGTTGATCTTGTCAATCAAATTGTTATATATTTATTGAATTTCCCTGTGGAAATGGTTAGTATGCTAATTAAACACACATTGGCACATCCGAGAACATCTTAAACATTTTTGCTTTTAAACTCACTGTTCCTTGGTAGTCTAAAACCAAACAACACTGAATTTCAATTATTAAATGTTTTAAATTGTTCAAACTCTTTTAATCCTACAATATTGAATTGAAATTGTTTATAACTAATTTGTGTGTCTTCGTCTGTTCTGCCATGACTGTTGGTTCCTTGCCATTGATTAGTCCTCAATCTTTTATCGTTTCTATGGTTTAGGACCTTCCAGAACTCCTCGCAATACCTTCATCGTAATTATTCATACATTAAGGTTATATTGCATATCTGTAGACTTGAATAAGTCGAATAATGGTTTGGCTGGCTTACAAGCGTGTTACTATTATACGAAACCATTTCTTTTCGGGTATTAATGAATTTTAAGCACCTTAGTATACATTTTGGTGTGTTTATCAACATAAATCTGAAAACATTTTCAGTCAATGTTTAATATCTTTAATTACTCTGTATACTACAATACTTTTGATCATTAACGACTATGTAAAGTACAGAAATACAAATCATATTTACCTTTATTTCTACTGTTAATCTGAAATATTCAATAAATACAGACGCTGTCGAGATCATTGATGTTTAATCAATATCCATTATGGTAACATCTGTAAAAGTCCATATTTTTAAATAAAGTTATCTTTTAGATATCTTTTTCACACATGAAACATATATTACATTGTTGGGTCTTAATACGATTACTTCCTTGTAAATATGGATAATAATTTTGTAATTGTAATCAAAGTAAGATAACAATTGTCCTTTAATCGGTTTCCTTCAATCCATGTAAATCTTGTTTCCGCTAATATATTCTCATTCTTCTTAAGCTTTAATGCATTCTGAAAATCTCGTCCTGGCTCACTCATATTTTAACTCTAATTGAGCTTAAATGGACTCAACAAATCTTCTCTCCATAATTTTGCCATAATAATGCGACATTGGGCTCGACAATCACGACTCACTTTTTATTTTATTTTTCTATTTTTCTAAACCATTCTTGTCAACGTGTTCTTTCCAACTATTGCCCTAAGTTTTATTGGATCGCATGTCTAGTCACATGTTTCTGTACCCTGTATTCGAATTACTCAGCAATGGGTTTAGCAAATCTCGTTTCGCACCTTTGCCCTCCTAGATACATTGGGCTCAGCAAGTCCAGTGTCACACGCTCTCTCATTCTATCGTCTTAATACATTTTCTTGGCCTGATAATTTCGTAAATCATTTTCTGTCACACTTTCGCCAGGTGAAAAGCAATTTTGTACGAGGAATATGGGTTCGAGTACGTGGGATTTTACTGTATATCGATTGCACGATGTCACGAAGGTTATTTAAAATTCATCACCTTATTTGTGTAGATATTGTGTTTAATATGGTCGATTACAAATCACACAAAAAAAAATATTTTCTGGCTGTTCAACGAGAGGAAGTGAAATAGTAAAGAAAATTTGCTATATCTGGAAAACAGAGTTACAAATAACGTGCTTATTGAACATCCTGTTTAAATGGTGTAAAACACACAGCAGATGGAAATCAGACGGTAAGTTTATTATCGAGAAAATCGCCAATCGATCCATTGAATGTTGTACGTTGGTTCATTATTAATATTGCGAAATTGTCAACACCTCAAATGGCTGTGAAAAATTGATCAGGTAAGTCATTAAAAAAACATTTTAAAGGTCCGTAGAGGACAATGTTCTTATAATCTGGTGTCGTTAAAGAACAGGTCCAAACATGTTTGTCACAGAGTCTCTGTGACATTTCGACCAAGGTATGATACAACCGTTCATAGCCACAAATACACCGCTGGATGTCATTGTCTGTAAACATCCAAAGGCAAACCCTATGTTAAAATCGGCATCAGTATCCTTAAACCTTTCCGGAAGGAAAGAACCCGTAAGGACTATAACTTTTTCAAGCTTTTCTTTTGACAAAATTTCAGCCGTTTCCAACATCTTGTCTGTACCGTGGGTAATTAAAATCCTCTTGGCATTTGTTTCACGACACGCCTGGGCAAGTTTCATCCTACGAAATAGAAAACTTTCGAAATATAATTCTAGCATTTAATCGTAATTCCTTATACATTTCTGTTTTCTTTTTGAGAAAATTAAAATTTCAATACATTGCAGTATACCATATCATGTTGTCAAAAATAAATCTATGTCATTAGTGTGAAACTTTTGATAAAGCGACGACAAAATATGAAAAACAGACTCCTGAAAAGTACCTCCGATGACACCCGTCCAGTAAATCTTGATCAACCCAAAGAAGATTAGACAGGTTAATTACTGAGGTAAACAATAACGGGACCACCAGGCATACGAGCCAACAGCAAACACAAATTCGCATCGCATGAGGCAATAAAATATTTCCCACTGAGATCATTGTGACGATATTCAATTTCCCAATTTTCTTGGTCAACTTCATTTCGCGAAATTTTATACGTTTTACCTTGTTAGTTGAATTATCAAACATTACTTACCAGGACTGACCATGATTTACATAGAGGGCGCCGTCGATGAAGTAGACGACGCCTACTCTTCCCTAATACTTGGTCTTATTCTATTTTCACTTTTTCAGGAGTCTTCGTGTAAATCTTTCTTTTGTTCATATTTTGGTCTAGTTTTTATTGATTGTGATTATGTAGACATGTTGTCGATTTTTTGTCAGGTATGTTACGAACAAATGTAGGTCGATGTTGTTGATGTTCCGTCTGTCTGTCCTTTAGTTATTTTGTCACAAAATACTAACATTGATAAAGCACATCGACATCTCACAACACAAATCAACACCATACGATCATCCCAGAAGTTATGACATGATTATTCACAAGACCTACGTCACTTCCTTCATATCTTTAAAGGTGTTGATACAAAGGTATGTTCTGGATGTAAATTGTTACTTTTTTTTTATTTTTGCAGTGACAGGCTTTCCCTGGTGTAATATTGATATTTCCTTCATGCTTGCAAGTTACAACATAAACAGTTTAATGACTATTCGATATACCACGGAGACCACAATTAGACTTACTAATGTAAGTAACAGGTAAATAGGTAACCTTCGACCTGTCACAAAAAAAAATCTGCTTGTATATCATAAAACTTTTTTTTTCGGGTCAGCTATGTTTCGAGGTCCAACCAACGCAACTCCGAACTATTTCAAATTTCTATATCAAGATAGATAAAGAAATGAAGCCAATATATGGTAATACTCGTCATTCTTTGGAGTGTTCAAAAACCAAAATATCAGGAATAATTTCAAACTCTTGATATGGGATTAATAAAAAGATTCCGACATATCTTGAGTAAGCAGAAGACGATAACTCTTCCAGAACACATGGTCTTATTCTTCTGGTACTTTTTAAGAGTCTTCGAGTAAATATTCCTTTTGTTCATGTTTTGCCTTAGCTTTATCGATTTTGAGTTTGGATTATGTTTATGTTGACATGTTGGTATTTTCTTAATTGTTATATATATATATATATATATATATATATATATTTCCATAACTAAATAACTAGAGATGATTTTTGTCATCATTGAAGAGAAACCATATGGTCAGGTTGAAAGAAACAAATGCGTAACATGATTTAAAGATATGAAATCAAGGTCACTCACCTGTCCTCCTGGCGTACATCCTGACTATCCAGCCTGCATACACTCTGTACTTCCACGGCCATGGATGATTTCACACGGTCAAGGATGCGCGAGACGGCAGGTTCGCCTATCTCGAAAGAATACCCAAGAATGGTTTTTGGATAGCATTTATCTATTGTGCCTAGAAAATAATTAAGACAATTTCGATTAATAAATTAACTAGAAGGTTTGTGAATTTGCACTTGAAAGATTATACATGTCACTTTTATGTGCAATTGATTGATGTGTCTATGGACACTTAGCTATTATCCAAAACACTGCTCACTAGATAGCTCTTAAGTACCAGAAGAAAATCAGGTTAAAATACAATCAACACATGATCTTTGTCTCTTTTACTCAGTTTGCTCTGAAAATCTTGCCATAGACATGAAAACAATTGCTCATTCTTTATCACAGTCTATGCATGCCGCTGCATTGCTTCTATCAATGAAAATGAGGCGACTAATGAGACAAAGAGGCGACTTTTTATATACTTTCTGTGTAAACAAACTACGGGAGATATATGAATTAGTTACATTACTTATCCATAGATACAACATGTGTGTCACACTCACCTCCTGTTTGTAGTACGAGTATCCTTTCTGACATTGTGTCGTTTATAAGGTCGGAATCCCACCCAGATAGGAATGACCTCGTTTTTCTATCCGCATGTGTAAATAACCACACCACGGTGTCCCAACGTCAAAATATATGCGAGGTGAGCTGATTTGTCATCAAAATGTTTACACATAAGGGCTGTTTAAATATTGGATTTCTTAGTTTTATCGAAAGCATCAATGGATTCTACGTAAACATCGTTTTACATTAAAAAAGGAATTACATTTTGTACCGTTGTCAGAAAAAAAAATCAAATTTACATATCATCGCTATATATATAGAAATCATCATAAAATAAATAAATAAACATGCCAAAATATGTTAGACAAAATAGAAATATTTAACTTAAGTGACTTAAGGAAGAATAAATTTATAAACCACAAAATAGTTATTAATAAAACATCGAAAAAACAATGTATACATACACATCGGAAAGTCTTTTTATGTATCAACAATATTTATCAATGTTCATAAAACACTGAGATATCAAACATACATTCTGAATTCGAACATAGATCAACGACAACAAAATTATTGTAAATATTTGACAAGAAATGTTGTGAACGTTCGAATGTGTCACTGTTATGTATTATATATTTACCATTTCAGTTTGAACACAAGACATGCAAGTTAATAACACTCTATTAATGCAATTGTAAAGCTAGATATGCACTAGAGCCAAATAGTTAATAAACTACACCAGTTTCGTTCTTCTTTTTGGCTAATTCAAATGATTTAGTAAAAGAAACACGAAAACTGGCATTACAGATTAAAAGCCACTTATCCCACAACGAAACTATATGATGTACCTAACAGTATACAACTGAATACAACAATGGAAAATATATACACAACAACAGATAGACGATAAACAAATGCATAATTACAAGGACACAGACAGACACAGATACATGTTTTGAAATACACAGACGAATGTCGCGTAAATAAAGGACAAAGTTACAGCCAACTATTAGAATGCCAGTTCCAGGTCCATAGTGAGGTTTAAATGATAAAGGGAATAAGTTCAGGGCAATTTTACTTTTTAAAAGAAACACAAGTGAATAGCATCATCTGATTAAAATTTGGATAAGCTACCATAAAGCCAAATAATGAGTCGTCAAACATTATGATGAGAATGCTTCTTCACAATCCGTTCCGTGTAGCAATATTTTTGCATCTAACAACAAAGAGACTCTTTGTATACATCAAAAGTCTTTCTCCTAGCTATCCGCGAAGCTTCTAATTCTACTCTCTTCTCCGATTTATCATTTTTACATATTACATAGTTTCGCAATCAAATACAATATATTATGTATAGATTTTGTTCAATGTTTGACGACAAAAAGTCTGTTTAAACCGGCGTAAGATTCAAATTTGTTTCGAGGCATTTTTGACAAATATTCTCTTTTATGTCAAGTCCATATACAGTTATTCCTAAATGCTTGTTATTATCAACAATAATTAAATCTGCGTCATTAAAATGTATCTTGGTATCATGTTCGGATTTAGTTTTCAATATCAATAACGCTTTGGTTCCCCGTGTGTTAAGCTTTACCGTGCAAGTTTTTGGGTTCTTTATTTTCATATTTTTTTCCCAATTTGACCCCCGAAAAAATCGAAAATACATTACCATCCGATAAGTATAAACATATATCCGCTTACAATTACAAGATGTAGCTTAACGGCATGTTACCTGAGACATATTTAGTATAACATATTTACCATGGCAAGATTAAAAGAAAACAATAATGCTAGGTGGAAGACAGGCCAACGTTTCTCAGAAATATAAATTTGGAATGTTGAAGGATTAAAGGACGTTTACAAATTAATTCAATATATTATGTCCAAATAAATCGTTATCGTTATTGTAAAAATTCTTATTTACTCGTTTGGTTACCTGGGCCATTTGAGGAAAATTTTCATTCTTTATAAGATTTGAATTTTGCAGAGATTACAATTTTTGGGGTTATATATCATGTGGATATTTGCTATTTTCAAGTCATGTTCACGTAGTTTTAATTTAGAAGATGACTGCTTTGAAGACAACATTCCTAACCGTTAAGTAAAGTTCTAAGCAATGGCTTGATTTTTGTTTGTTCATGAGTAACCTTCATTAAAGAAGTTCTAAAAAAAGTAATACAAGAATGTGTTTTCTAGAAGATAAATATGAAATAATCTTTCCACTACATTTTTAAACGTTTTGCCTATCAGAAGATAATCACACGCTTTGAAGTTATCACCTGGTTTTAAATTAGACATGACTAGAGCATGTTTCCATACTTCAGGTTGTCTAATAATTGCCGTAAAAGAATGCAAAAGGGAAATACTATTTGTACAAATGCATTTGATCGTCAATTTCGTTAATATCTACTGCCTTTTGTAAACATCTTCATATATCGCTGCGTAACTGAAATACCGTTAATACCAGAGATTTTTCACATGGCGGCTCAGACAAAACTCATCTACATATGTATGGGATATAGATTCAAAATTATTGTCAGTTTCGATTTTGTTTACATCAGAGGATTTTGTCAGCAGAATAACGCTTAATAAAGCATGAAGTATGAATGTATTCTTATGAAAAACGTATAAGCTGGTTGATAGCATTTGAGATTGTATAAAAAAAACATAACTAAACATTACCTTCACTGATTCCTACAAGCATGCTAATTATTCATCAAACATGCCAACAACACTGAATTTTAAACGTGCAAATTGTTCATGACGCATTTCCTTTTCTGTGTCTTAGTCTTTTGTCTTGCCATGACTGTTGGTTCCGTGCCATTTATCCGTCATCTATCTTCTATAGTTCCGATTTCTTATTTGTGTAGTCTATCCAAGGCAAAGAATAACAAATTTGACCTCATCTGCCTTCGAAGAAGGTCCTATTTCCTGTGAAAAACGTTGTGTATCGCTAATTTGACCATCAAATTTCCTTATTGCCGATCATTCGTGATCGTTTTTTCAGTATTTATCGTGGATCTATCCACTGTGGTCCTATTTTCATTGGTGATCAGTTGTGATCGTTTTAACGGTATTAATCGTGGATCTTTTCACTGTGGTCCTATTTTCTGTGGTGATCAGTCGTGATCGTTTTGTGTTGTTTATCATGGATCTATCCACTGTGGTCCTATTTTCAGTGGTGATCGTTTTGTGTTGTTTATCATGGATCTATCCACTGTGGTCCTATTTTCTGTGGTGATCAGTTGTGATCGTTTTGTGTTGTTTATCATGGATCTATCCACTGTGGTCCTATTTTCTGTGGTGATCAGTCGTGATCGTTTTGTGTTGTTTATCATGGATCTATCCACTGTGGTCCTATTTTCAGTGGTGATCGTTTTGTGTTGTTTATCATGGATCTATCCACTGTGGTCCTATTTTCTGTGGTGATCAGTTGTGATCGTTTTGTGTTGTTTATCATGGATCTATCCACTGTGGTCCTATTTTCTGTGGTGATCAGTTGTGATCGTTTTGTGTTGTTTATCATGGATCTATCCACTGTGGTCCTATTTTCTGTGGTGATCAGTTGTGATCGTTTTGTGCTATTTATCATGGATCTATCCACTGTGGTCCTATTTTCATTGGTGATCAGTTGTGATCGTTTTAACGGTATTAATCGTGGATCTTTTCACTGTGGTCCTATTTTCTGTGGTGATCAGTCGTGATCGTTTTGTGTTGTTTATCATGGATCTATCCACTGTGGTCCTATTTTCTGTGGTGATCAGTTGTGATCGTTTTGTGCCATTTATCATGGATCTATCCACTGTGGTCCTATTTTCATTGGTGATCAGTTGTGATCGTTTTAACGGTATTAATCGTGGATCTTTTCACTGTGGTCCTATTTTCTGTGGTGATCAGTTGTGATCGTTTTGTGTTGTTTATCATGGATCTATCCACTGTGGTCCTATTTTCTGTGGTGATCAGTTGTGATCGTTTTGTGCTATTTATCATGGATCTATCCACTGTGGTCCTATTTTCATTGGTGATCAGTTGTGATCGTTTTAACGGTATTAATCGTGGATCTTTTCACTGTGGTCCTATTTTCTGTGGTGATCAGTCGTGATCGTTTTGTGTTGTTTATCATGGATCTATCCACTGTGGTCCTATTTTCTGTGGTGATCAGTTGTGATCGTTTTGTGCCATTTATCATGGATCTATCCACTGTGGTCCTATTTTCATTGGTGATCAGTTGTGATCGTTTTAACGGTATTAATCGTGGATCTTTTCACTGTGGTCCTATTTTCTGTGGTGATCAGTCGTGATCGTTTTGTGTTGTTTATCATGGATCTATCCACTGTGGTCCTATTTTCAGTGGTGATCAGTCGTGATCGTTTTGTGTTGTTTATCATGGATCTATCCACTGTGGTCCTATTTTCATTGGTGATCCGTTGTGATCGTTTTAACGGTATTAATCGTGGATCTTTTCACTGTGGTCCTATTTTCTGCGGTGATCAGTCGTGATCGTTTTGTGTTGTTTATCATGGATCTATCCACTGTGGTCCTATTTTCTGTGGTGATCAGTTGTGATCGTTTTGTGTTGTTTATCATGGATCTATCCACTGTGGTCCTATTTTCAGTGGTGATCCGTTGTGATCGTTTTAACGGTATTAATCGTGGATCTTTTCACTGTGGTCCTATTTTCTGTGGTGATCAGTCTTGATCGTTTTAACGGTATTTATCGTGGATCTATCCACTGTGGTCCTATTTTCAGTGGTGATCCGTTGTGATCGTTTTAACGGTATTAATCGTGGATCTTTTCACTGTGGTCCTATTTTCTGTGGTGATCAGTCTTGATCGTTTTAACGGTATTTATCGTGGATCTATCCACTGCGGCCTAATTTCTGTGGTGATCAGTCGTGATCTTTTGGTGCTCTTTATCACGTTCCTGTTAGTGGTGGTGTTTCTTCAGTGTTGTTCGGAGCCAGATGATCCTTCGATGATTGTCAATGTTTGGGGTGATTATCTTCTTGGTCGGTCATTAAAATGATACGTTGTCTAAT